CATATATAAAAAAAGATGCTGACAGGTCCGGCAGAAACAACAAGGACACACTCTCCCTATCCAATTCCTAGTGTAGGTCAACCACCAAGGCTACCAGAGCAGTCTCCATCCCATAATCAAGCCTGAAGCCAGATTGAAATGCAATTCTACTAGGGGTCACATAAATTACCAGAGCTAATTGTGGCTAACTGAGGAGGCATCAGGGCACATTTCAATTGTGCATTTGGGCATGTGATCATGCTTGCAGCCAAACTGCACCCTGGCACCTCATCAGATAGCTACAATTAGGCATAGCAGGTTATGCAAACCTCATGTAGACAGCAGTACACTTTGTATTGTCTTATCTATTAGTTATATATGTACACCTGTTTGATTAGTTGTATGGTTTTGGAACAAAGGACTGGCCCCTTTGTCTTAAAGATATGCAGGTTTTGATTAAAACAGTTGAATGAAATGTCCCTAACTTGAAGTGAAAATCATAGTCTGTTTCTGTGTCAGATATTTTCAAGTGCAATGCAAAAACTCTGTATTTCTGAACATCAAGGAGAAATCAGTTATATGTGTATAAATGCTGGGCTTTTTGTTACCTTTCTGTATCCTTCTGTAATACTGTATAGTTACCTTGTTCTACAATATGAGCTAAGCAAGAAATCTAAATTCTTGCTATAACTATATATAAGTTCAACCTACTTCCAATACTGTCCCCTTGCACTGCTGCCTAGAAGTCCAACAGAGTTCAATGAGACCTACTCCTTAGTGAGTACTGTACTAAATGCATGCAATCTTACTTTGGATCCAATCCACGACAATGATAGTGACATCTAGGAAATCCTTACAAATGCTGCATGTTGTTGATATGTCATATATCATTATGAAAACCTCTTGAAATTAATCTGGATAACTGAATGCAAATGAAATCCAATTGTAAATAATCTATGTTCATTGAAGACAACCAACTATGTGTAAAATATGATGATTTTTTTAAAAAAATCAGTGTTTTCGATGATACTGAAGCATTTAAATGACTCAAGTGATACTTTAAATACTTAGTCATTGAAAGAAGTATGAGAGATATAGAGGTTCAATTAGAAGCACCCAGGACTGAGTTTGATATGAAGCCTTTAGCTTTGAGCCTCATCCTACTCTTGGTGGAGCCAAGGAAACATCTGAGGAACTGATAAAGCTCCTAGCACCTACTCTAATGCAAGTTTTCTTTTCTTTTCCCCTTATATCATTGTCAGTCATATCACATTATATTGCATTACAGATTTCTTCTGTTTTTGTCAATGACTTACGCTGTTGCTACTCAAGGAAACAGACAAGTGGTGCATTCTATCTTTATCCTCTTCATTGCTTTCTGCCAAGTATTCTATTTAATGTTTGTATTTCTCCCCCACCTGTTTTGACAAAATGGCATATGCATACTGGTGTCTTGCAAGAAACCAAACAACAAAAAATAAACAGCATAAAATAATTAGAAGAAAAACATCTACTGTGCCTTTCAGACAGTGGATGAATCAGAAATATACCTGGAAATGTATGGGAGGGACCATGCACAAGTGTGTGTGTGGTGTGTGCATGCACGTGTTTGATACGGATCAGTCAGAACCTAAAGAGAGTCCACTATATTTAAAGTTACTACAGTACTTTGGACCTAAGACTGAGATATAAAATACAAATTGTCAGTTTTAAGGTACTGAACAATTGTCCAGATGTTTTTCAACTTATTGGTCAAAATATGGGGGGAAATTTGCTTCCCGATAAGCACTGTGTCTTCACAAAATGCTTCTATTCAACAAAGAAGACCTGAACTTCAATCTGGAGTAGCTGAAGGGACTGAGCCTTCATAGACCCACATGGATAGGGATGCTTCCACGATAAATCTATTCTTTCTTTTAACAACTGGTTCAGCCACTAAGATCTTCTGGTGAGGCCCTATTCTCTAAAATCCAGCCTTCAGATATAAATAAAGTGACTGTCTTCCAGGCACATTCAACAGGGATCCACCTTACTGTTATTTAAACACCAAATGACATGATTACATTGCACTCTTTTGCCCCAGTTTAGGATATTGTACACTCCCAGTGTCAGATATTATTGCAGAATCCGCAAAGAACCATGCTTACAATATTTATTTATTTATTTATTTATAGCCTTCAGATATAAATAAAGTGACTGTCTTCCAGGCACATTCAACAGGGATCCACCTTACTGTTATTTAAACACCAAATGACATGATTACATTGCACTCTTTTGCCCCAGTTTAGGATATTGTACACTCCCAGTGTCAGATATTATTGCAGAATCCGCAAAGAACCATGCTTACAATATTTATTTATTTATTTATTTATTTTATTTANAAAGG